GTTTTTTTAATACTGCAAAGTAAAGTGAAGTAGTAGCATTCTTAAAGTATTCTTTTGATAAAGAGTATAGTAAAAAATATAATTAGCGGAGCAAGCACAGACACGAAGTATCATTATTCTATAATAAGTGCTAAAAATTTATTACAAAGCAATGAGCTAAGCCCTAGGTACACGACAGGTGTATTTTTTGGTCTCACGAAGTGAGAATACTATGGCATCTAGCAATATCAATCAATTAAACTTATGCCGATTTTCTGACTTTATGGATACTCTTCGAGCATCTGAAGTCTTACAGAATAAGGATATTTTGCATCTATCGAGTATAAAACTGCATAACATAATATCCTTTAGCATGTTTTTTACAAATACCAGATGCAGAAGAAGTTGGCTTACTACAAACCTTACATAAAATATATTTTTTTGCTTTCCAATATTCATGACATCCTTCACGACGTCAGCATCTGCGTCCACAGACTTCTTTGGAGTTGTGTATATATTCACATGTATATTCACTGTGCATTTCGATAAATTTATATAACTGAATTAATTATTTTTTATTTAAACAAAAGATCTGGTATATTAATAAAAAACACTGAAAAAACATATTACTATGGCTAAGATACTTAAATGTCCAGGTTGTGATTGAGAAATAAGAACTGGTAAAACTCGAGATCTTAATAAATACATGAATTTAAATAGAAACCTTCGTAAAGGACAATGCCAACCAGCTTTGCGTTTAATGCAAAACCTAGTCCAAGCTCCAGCAGGAAATTCACCTATTCAAAATCTAGCTGAAAACTCAATCCTGGCACAAAATCCAATACCAACTCCTGAAGGTGATCTCATATCATTCGATGAAAACCTACCAACATCGAGAAAAATAAATGCGCTGGCAGATGACCTTTTAACTGACAATATAAAAGCGGGCCAAGTTCTATTATTCAAGAAGAACAAAAAAAAAAATCAATTTTAACAATAGATGAGTTATTAAAATGGATATTAAAACCAGAAATTAAAAATAATAAAAAGATTAAGTCAAAACCTATACCAAAGACAGATGAAGAATGGTTTGATTTATTGGAGTCGAATGATGACAATAAAGGTAGTAAACCCAGTGATTCAGAATATGACACAGTGGATGAAGATCCAGATATTTATTTCGAGAAAATTGTAGATCCATATATTAATAGAATATCAGAAGCTGAAAAATTTAA